TTTGTTGTGATAATAAACCATCTGCCATGATTGTTGCATTGAAGTGTTGTCACAAGTTCTGCTCTAATTGTTTGAAGACTTATGTTGATGGAAAAGTAGAGTCATTTCAAGTTCCCATTAGATGCCCTCAATTGAGATGCAAATATTACATTACAAACAATGAGTTCAGATCTTTTCTTCCCCTGACTTTATATGAATCATTAGAGAATACCTTAGCAGAAGCAAACTTTCGCTTGGATAGAATTTACTGCCCTTTTCCGAATTGCTCTGTCCTGTTAGACCCGAGCGAATGTTTGTCAGCTAGGGCGAGTTCATCAAGTCAATCGGATAATAGCTGTTTCGAGTGTCCTGTATGTCAGAGATTTATCTGTGTTGAATGTCAAGTTCCTTGGCACTCGTCGATGAGCTGCGAAGAATTTCAGAAGGTCCCGTTAGAGGAGAGAGACACTGCTGATATTACCTTACGCCATCTTGCACAAAACAAAAGGTGGCGCCGTTGTCAGGAGTGTCGTAGGATGATTGAATTGACTCAGGGTTGCTACCATATGACATGCTGGTAAGGCTTCTTCCTTCAAATCTTAATTTAGTGCATATTTTATAGCATCCTTATTGTGTCAATGCGATGAACATGATTCATGTATATATAACAAATAGATCTAACTTATTAGATTCAGGGCTGTATGTATATGACTTCAATGTTTATGCTGCTTTGCTTGATGTGTTTTACAGGTGCGGGTACGAATTCTGCTATTCATGTGGTGCCGAGTATCAAGATGGGCAACAGACGTGCGAATGCGCCTTGTGGGATGAAGAAAATTCCGAGTACTTGGTGACCCATTCCATCCAAGAATCAGAGCAGTGGGCATGGGAGACTTTTAATTCCCTCCCCATGATAATGGATGCATACTCAGAGCAAGAGAGGTCACAATTAGCACTGATTCAACGATTCCTCGCCGGAGGATTTAGTTTGAGCGACCACCAACCGTATCAATCTCCACCACGATGTACAGACTCTTCTGATGTCGACACGATGAAGGACATACACCAGCTTCCTTGGCTCGAGAGGTTTGTTTCTCTGATAAGCGATAGCTATTACGAAGATTATGTACAATGATATCGATTCTTAGGTGTCTTACTGATATTGAAAAATAAAAGGGGGAGGTAAAAGAGTTTCGTACTCTAGTTTTCGTCCCTCATTTACATCGCCGAGCTTGGCGTTTTGATGTACTGAATCATGCTGCCGCTGCTTATGATGTGACCCTCAGAGGCCCTCCTTGCATTAGATTAGAATGGAGGAATCTTATGCAAACAACTGCTTGAAAAAAGAGCCAAAGAAATAGAGAAGAATTTAAAAGAAAATTATGTGTTGATTTTGTTGAATGATGTGAAAGTTATGTCTTCCTTTCTTTGTGAATGAGATATTCTGTCATCTAACATTTCTCTTTTCAAAATGTCTGTAATATATTAGGAATATAATGATAAGTTTGAAACTGATTGATATCAGTTTGGTAATTCAGAAGGAATAATGAGTGAGACTGTTTTTGTTATCTACTGCATCCGAAACAATTATTGTTGAACTCCTCGAACTCTCAATTGAGATAAGCTGTGACAAACGCAGCAACAACAATCTAGCCCTTTAGATAGCTTATGGCTAGAATTCAGAAGGCGGCAGAAGATCGTCCAAAAGCGAGTAGCTAAGATCCCGATTTGGAAAATGCATCTAAAGAACAAGGCAGAAAGAAAGGCAGGATGACAGCAGACGAAGATGATCAGTATATCAAAAGACAAACTGAAGCAAGGAACGCAAGCTCTGGGACCTAGAGACAGGAAAGTCTAGGTGAAGAGGAAAGCTATAAAAAGAGAACGAGTGCACATATGTAACGTCATACGTAATCGGGTTAAGATCGATCGATCTCTAATGGGGCAAAGGGCGACTGTCTCTCCACATTTATTACGAATCTTACCTATTAAAGTTTAAAGTTTATAGAATAGATTCTTACTTTTGAGGGACTATCATCCCTTCCTTTCATGCAAATATATTTTCAAAACCAAAACTCTAAACAGTAACATAATGCATTTCTTCCATATGAATCAACAGCACAAATCAATTATGTATTTAATGAATAATATCAACAGAAAAGAATGAAACCCAACAAATCTCGGGCCATCGACTAAGCAACTATCGACACGAGGTATCATTGGAACCATAACTAATCTTCTGCAGGCTTATATCAGACATATTAGCTACCCATTTCTGAGGCCTGCCCTTTGAATCTCCCAATATGTTATATGCATAAGAAGGCCACATTACACTTCTACTGCATAGCTCTCCAACCGCAACCCCCGCTTTCATCAGCTTTTGCGTTCTCCCAAGAACTACAAGACTCGAAAACGTAGAGAAACTGTTCCCAACGAACACGTCGGCCCTCAAGCAAACTTCGTAGTCGATCGCCGACCGTATCAGGTAAGGATACTTCTCGTAGATCTTATCAACGCCTAGCTTTTTCTTTTCAAATGGTAATAACCCTTCTTTCCAACCGTCCAAAATCGAAGAATCGTTCAGTAAACTATCTGCAACAGCTAGATAAACGACCGTCGGCTTGTTCGTTCCCGAAATGTTCCCTACTCTATTCATTATCTCCTCCTTGCTGCTACAAATCTGGTTCATATTGTATCTCTGCTCTAACTTCTTGCAGTGAATCATCCAATCTATCTCTATTCTCATGTGGACTGCAACATATGGCAGCAACTTTGCAGATTTAGCACCAGTTACTTCTTCTGATCCTACTTCTCTAATCCTGGAAATCACTTTATCCACTTCGTTCGCTATCTCATCGACCAAAACCAAGCACTCAAAAACCCGTGCGTAGTCCTTTACGGGCCAGTGATCATGCCATAAGAATGGATTCTTACCAACTATTCTAATCACCTCAGATTGATCAAATTGCTCCTTACTATACTCCTTCAATTGCTCGAAATCCCTCTCGATCGTCCACTTCCTTCCGCTTCCTTTAGGCAGTTCGATCGTTTTTGCTCGATTCGAAACATCCATATAACGACCCAGTTGAACAAACCCATTACAGCGAGAATTGAACTCATTAAACTTAAAGATCTTATCAAAGGAAATTGGTTCCAAACGCTCAACTTCCTTATAGAAAAGGGAAGCACTAAGACTAGGCATCAAAAGGGTTCGGTTCAACATTCTTGCAGTTAAACAAGCTCTTGCAAATGCTATCTTTTGATTGTTTAAACCCCAAACAATCTGAGGAACCTCCAAGAACTTATCAACGCGAATTCCAAAATTTGAACCATGAAATGGAGAGAGATTTCGGATGAGTACTAAGCCATGATCATCAGTCCAGCCAAAATTCAACGTGGATGGGAAGAAAATAGCTCTAACAATTAGAAGAACAAGTAATATGGCCATGCATTTGCAAATTCTGGAATTGAGATAGCGAAGGCAATGAATCGAGCGTTTACCATTCGATGATATCTCCATTTAGAGTTACAATCGATGAGTGCCCTGCAAGGAATCAAACAGAGACCATGTGCTTTTGCTACTCCAGCACAAACAAATCAAGGCTGGAGAGTCATCCCGAGCCTCAAATCGAGTTAATCGTATTCCATCAAGTTTCTGATTCAAAACTGTCAAAATTAAGAGAAACCCATTTCCAATCAAGAGCTAAATTATAAAATTCCCATGAAGATCTATGTTCATCATGCACCTTGATTCAAATGAATACCAAGATCGATCCACCCAGAATCCTTTTTTGTAAATGCAAGCACCTAAAAGATACCCATAAGAACAAATCATCAGAACGCGTTGATAAAACTAAGAAACGAAGATCAATCGAAATCTTCAAACGATAAAAGGGGGCTAAACGATTTCTACAATAAATCAGACCCAGATGAGCGATTGAACAATAAATCTTACGATTGAAGAAGCCGGAAAATGGGAATCGCAGACGAAAAAATCCAGATGAAAGGAGAACAAAACAGAAGAGAACAGAAGAGAACAGAGAAGGGATTCACATGCAATGCAAGAAAGAGGAATCCAGAGGAACCCACAAGGCACAAGAACTCCTTGAAACAAAAGCGAAGGAAACTGCAATTATGTGGCGAAACAGAGAAAGAATTTGAAAAAATGGTGGGGTAAGGGGGGAAGATGGGGCCTGTGTCAGAGATTGGGGAATGGAACAGAAGATGAGATGGCGGCGGAGAGAAGGAACAAAGGGTTAAATGGAACTATCTGTTTCAGGTAAGGGGGTTGTGAGGGGAAAGAAAGTACAGATGGTGGGGGAGGTGGAGCCCAAATGCGGCAGAGCAGAGCAGAGAAGGGCAGAGCTGGGCAGAGCTGTGAAGGCATGTGCCTTTTCCTTTCTTCCTTTTGCCCTCTTGCCGTCCCTAGCAATTAATGCTCTTCACCTTTCTCTATCCATGCTTTTTTTATTATTATTAAATTGTATAAATCTAGTCAATATTTTCCTTTTTTTTTAAAAAAAAAAAATTAATATTTTTTTTAATATTTTATAGATACAAACTCATATATAAAATTTCTTCGAGATACAAGATGAACTAGAGAATATAAAAAGTTCAAAAAAAAAATTCAAAAACAATATAAAAAATCAACGCAAGAGACGTTCATTCGAGGCCCAAATTTTCTGTTTAGATAGAAAATGGAGAGGGGAACATATTCGATGTCTATTTTCAGTCATGACTCTAATAGCATATAACCAAGGTAGGAAGAAGAGACAATCAGATATATCCCTTATAATACATTTTAGGACATTTTAGCCATAGCGAACGGTCATATATATTCATATTAACACAACATGAAATAGTAAAAAAAAAAAACTATCTAAGATGAAAGCATGTAAAAGGTAGTTCGGAATGGGCATGCGACCGAAGATAACATGTCCTAGAAAAGCATGATTAGGGCATCCGACATTTGGCCATAAACACACTTTGGGCAAGTATAACCGTGACATACAACACCTGACGTTCCCAATAGTAAATCATCAACATATACTTAAAATGGTCATATGTATAACTTCTTAGCACAACATTTTCAACCATATAATTCAATCTTGAGGGGTTGGCTTTTATGAGGAAGGAGGCACAAAGGAGGTTCAATGACATCTCATATACGACTATTTTGTATTCAACCCTATATAATAATTGACCTTTCATAACAACACATTATAAGAACAGTCCCCCAGCCATTTACCTCTAGCCTCTAATTCTGGAGACTTTGGCTACTTACAGAACCAACTCAACATCATCAAAACTGCACAATCTCAATGAGCATGGATATCCAAGCCATTTCATGTGTGAACGTGGCTAATCATGCACGTAATCGTGCACCACAAAATCGTTGTAAAGGAGGTTCCCTTCTTTCGAGTAGTGAAGAAGGAAATAGCAGTCTTCACAAAAGTAGCACGGGTTTTCCTGCGCCCACTTATCGTCGAGTGTAACCTTTTTAGCCCTGTAGATGTTACAGACGTCGCATTTCTGAACTCGGGTCCTAAGCTGAAATGTAACGATCGGATAAGCAGCACGATCGTGTACGTCCTCAGGATGGATCAACCTCATATCTCTAATCACTATGGTGTGCTTGCAATCTCCCTGCATATACGAGGAGGAATCCATCAAAGTCGTTGCTTTTTTTTTTTTTCGTTTTGGATAAAAATAAATGTGTTTAGTTGATAGTAATGAAATATATAACCTCCCCAGGGAGTATAGAAAAGGGATCCTACTGGGAAGGAATCGCTTCAACTATGGGCCGTAAGAACCCACGCCACAATACCTCTAACAGTTCAAGCCCACCACTAGTAGATATCGTCTTCTTTGACTTTTCTTTTCGGACTTCCCTCAAGGTTTTTAAAACGCGTATGCTAAGGATAGGTTTCCACACCCTTATAAAGAATGTTTTGTTCTCCTTCCCAACCGATGTGGGATCTCAAAATCCACCCCTTTTCAGGGCCCAACGTCCTCGTTGGCACTCGTTCCCTTACCCAATTGATGTTGGACCTCCCAATCCATCCCCTTTGGAGCCCAGTGTTCTTGCTGGCACACCACCTCATGTCCATCCCCCTTCGAGGCTCAACCTCCTCTCTGGCACATCGCCCGGTGTCTGGCTCTGATACCATTTGTAACAGGCTAAGCCCACCGCTAGCCGATACTGTCCCTTTTGGGCTTTCCCTTTCAGGCTTCCCCTTAAGGTTTTTAAAACGCGTCTGCTAGGAAGAGATTTCCACACTCTTATAAAGAATGCTTCTTTCACCTCCCCAATTAACGTGGAATCTCACAATACCTCATAATACCCCAGACAGACAGAGATAGCTTTAAAAACATTGACCTGGGCTTTTACTTTGAAATAAAAGCCACAGGCAAGACACTGTAAGCATATCACCAAAAAGAATGAACATGAAAAACAAAATCATGTGGAAGAGCTGAACAAGCAATATACCTGATGGCAGTACAGATACCCAGCCCCAAGCCTAAATTTCAGGTCACAAAATCGAATCTTGCTCATGCTGACTGATCTAAAATGGGGCACATGTGAAACCGATACTTCGCCAAGAACTGAGTTTTTCTGTTGCGATTCACCGGTTATGATGCATCCCCATTTCTTACAAGCTTCGTCCTCGGAGTTTCTAAGCCAATCAAGTATAGGTTTGCTATAATCTATTGCGGAAGGATTCCTCAAATCATTGCAGAATACATCCTGCGTATAAACAAAACTGCATTCGGTTATGTAAAATCAAATATGAGAAATACAGGGCCGTCAGATTCCTTACTTCTATAAGGAAATATCCAGATGAATCATTCTGCCCAGCCTTTTCCATCAACTTATTCGTCACGCAATAAATCTTGTCCTTCAATTCCGCAAGCGTTTGTCGTCCAAGGGCCAGGAACTCTTGAGTCTATAAAGAAGAATATCAGAGGAAGGTCAGATACATATGATTGCAAGGAAGGACGTTTTCATTGAATTCTACCAGCATAATTAACACCTCCATGAACGCAATTACAGGATCAAAATCTGACTAGAATTTTTCATTCATACAACATGCTTTTCCATTCATTCCTTTCAGGATCAGTTGCGGTCTTACAAACTCTACTGATAATATGGACGAATCTGTAACTTCATAGAAATGTGTAAAAGATGCTAGCCGCACTTAAAAGCGCGAATTCAGGTAACGACTACAAGGGAGTAAGAGAAAGGAAGGGCATAAACATAATTTCATTTTTTTTTTTTTTTTTTTGTAGAGACCACCTAGAAGCCAAAAATAAATTATAACCCAAGTTCTTTCTATTATGGCATGGTATTCGTCTATAGGTTGCCAATACCTCTTCAATATATATAGTCATCAAGAGAAATAGATGTTGGTGACCACATAGATTGTTAAGAAAAAGAGAAACATACCTTCATCATCTTGCGAGATTTATGGTAAACCTCGACAAAAAGTACAGTTGTTGGATGCTGCAGAGCTTCATGTTTTACACTGCTCAGTGACTTCACCTAACATGTTATCAATTCCAATCAGCGAAGGGAGATACATGAAACGAAATGCATGATCAAACAAGAACCACAAAATTATAAGGACCAGTTTTGAGATAGCCTGTGCATTTAATGCTAGGACTCCACATTTAAGATTATGCATTTCCCTTTCGAGATTCCCCTCAGAGTTTTTAAAACGCGTCGGCTAGGGAGAGATTTCCACACCCTTATAAAGAATGTTTCGTTCTCATTCCCAACCGATGTGGGATCTCACAACAAGAGGCACGCATCTTTTCCTAGTTACCCATCAACACCTTTTTCACTCACTGAGACAGTTTGAGAATAAAGTTTCCAAACGCCATCACATTGCTAGAGCCAGGCCTATATCCTATACCAACACACTTACATCAGCAAAAGAACACTACTACACCTGTTTTGATTTACATAGCATCCAATTCAGAAGCATATTGAAAGACACAATATTTTAGCAGATAAAAAGGATGATACTAAATCCTCCCAGTGACAATCTACTAGCATATTTGAATATTCAATAACAATATAGGATCAACAAAGGTCAAAGTCCTACTGACTCAAGACAGGGACTATTTCTATCACCAAAAATGCTGTCTGGTTAGCTAGAACTAGAATACAATAACAAGTGCAACTCCATCTTCACTATTGTTTACAAAAATAAGGAAACAGACATACATCACCCAAGAAGGCATTGCATTCTGCAAGCTCTAATTGATGGTAAAGCTTATTATTGGACTAGTCAGTAAAAGAAAAAAAGTAGTAGTAGTAATAACTCAGGGAAACCTACTTGAGGAACCTTTGCAGAAAATTTTGTAGACCTCAAGGACTTCAACCTCTCTTTTTTTTCGGATGAACTGGTAATTTCCTTTTTACAACTGTCAAAAAAAATTTAATTTATTAACCATAAGCACCTAACATAGTGCGTACATCATGAAAAGGGATTTTTTTTAAATCATTGTACAAACTTGAAAGCATGCAATTTGACTGCAGCTCTGTCTGCATCTTGCTTTTGTTTTATTTTTATAATTTCAGCCACCTTTGCATTAGAATTTTCCTGAAATAATATGTAACGCATTATAGATTCAGTATAAAAAACAAAACAAAAGAGGAGAAAATGTATTAAAAATAATTATTAAGCACAAGATTACAATGACTTGCATAGTTGACATAATTGATGACTGAACAAAGGAACAGAGGGGTCTCAATAATCCATATATTAGTCCCATAAAAATAATCCAGATGGAGAAAAGATGCTGTAACAAAATAATAATAATAATAAATAAATAAAAAAGCACCAAGAGAAGATAACTCAAAAACAATTGAGAACGATCAAGAGTCGGATATTGAAGATTGTCCACAGAATGTACAGCTGAAACTCGTTTACTTATTTTGAAAGAGTCTTATCAGAAATCATTAAAATTAATCAAGTTTCATTTAAATAGTTGCAGAAAATAAAAGACATAATGCAAAGATGAACAGCATACCTCAATATCAGAAGTTTTCTCCTGTTTTCGTTTCCTTCTAGTCACTTTATTTGTGCTTCTATTCGCATTTGGTGCAGGAGCAGCCTCCAAATTGTGCCCGTTAACTTCCTCTTCATCTGCTCTAAGAATACCATTTTTCCCAAAAGAATTAATGAGCTTTTAACCAAAAACACTCTGAAGTAAAATGGACAATTTAGAAAAAAAAAAAGAATATTCAAAATAGTAAACAATGAATGTAATTGTGCAAGTCTGAGTAAACCTAGAGTTAATTAACTATTTTCACAAAAATAAATATTTATTAATAAATAAGGAATATATTAATCAATATCATCCAACCCCTTCGAAGAACTGAAAATGAGTTCATAAAAAATGAAAAATTTAGACCTATCTATATGGATTCTAGCCTCCAAAAAGTAGTTTTCAAGGAAGCTTGCTTCTAGAACGACAGAAATTGTCCTCCGACATTTTAGCTCCACAATACCATACAGGTTGTCTGAGCAAGTAAATATGGATTGGATTCTACGTACGGGTTCCTTTGCTAATAAGAACACCAAAACATTAACATCGCAAGGTTTGCATCATAATTTAACTTCATCAATCAAATTCATTATTATGGCAGACACCCATTATTGGGAGAGGATTTTTTTTTTTTTTTTCTTTATTTTATAGTAAACAACTTAATTCATTAAAAGAAATACACAAAGGGAGAAATCATCCAAATGATAAAAAAACTTCTCCAATTGGATAAAAGGGAGTTTATGCTATAATTTCTAAAAGGAAGAACATCTATAGACCAATAATGAGACATAAAAAGAGATGATTTGATCACTTCCTCTGGGGATCTTTCTTTGTTCTGAAAGATACTTGAGTTCCTCTCATTCTGCACGGTTCAAATTGTAGCTTGAACAAAGTGCTGCCACAAGATCTTTCTGTGTTGTTTAAAGGGGTGTTTAGCGAGGAAGAGCCGGATTATCTAAGATTACAGAAAGAAATTTTGCTTCTTTGGTCCCCTTTTACTCAAATTTACAAGGATTACCATCTACAAATCTGTTCTAGGCTTCTATGGTCTCTTCTTCAGAAAAATAGTCAATCAAATTTTTGGGTAAGGGGAGACTATACGACGTAAATTGTATTTTCACCAAAATAGTTGCCAAGAGGGTGAATCTGCAGAAATACTGTTTCTGTTATTCTAATAACTTTGCCTTCGTCAAAAATTGACAAGGCGTAAAACCAAGTCAATCCAAGTTCAAATAAAGACTGTTGAAAGCTCATTGAAATAGAAAATAACACTTAAAATCAAATACCTTGCCACCCGAGCATTCAAATTTTCTTCTCGAGGTTCTGGCTGGTTATTAAGACGCTCATTATTCTGCATTAGTAGAGTAAATGGAAAGAATACTGAGTACTATCTTTAAACAGGAATGAACTAGATGATACGAGACCACGGTTTACAGACCTGCGACGATTCCTCCAAAGCCATATTCAATAACTGTTCTTCAGTAAACACCTTAAGCTCATCAATCCTGCAGAATGGTATTGCAAATTAAAAAAATTCAACCATGAAAAAACAACCAGAACAGATTCAGGAAAAAAGAAAAATATACATACGAAATATCTTCATCACATAGTTGAGATGAATCCATGTGTAACGCTACTTCCAGACTCTGCTCCAGAGTAAGGATTAGAAACAGAAACAAAGGTGTAAAGACATGTAAAAGTGGTATATGAATTTGAATACATAAACAAAAACATATGATATGAGAACCTGAAGTTCCTGAAGAAGAGAAGACTCAAAGTGAGGGACCCTGGTGAGAGGACCAACCAAGTTCGGTGCATATATAGGTCCACCCAAAGGAATTGAAAGGCCATTGTCATTAACAGCTAACTCCTCTGAAGCTCCAGGGCTGTCTCTCGCCTCCATGACTCTCCTCCTTCCGAGTAGTTAGTTCACTTGTAGCAATCTTACAGTTTGGACAGCTATGCCATCGGCTATGTGGGCGCTTTGACAGTAAGGTCAGCTATGCCATCGGCTATGAGAACACTTCAACAGTAAGGTGATTGAAAGCAGCACACAGCCAAACCAACACCACTTTGTCTGCTAGAAGGGCAATTGGGCTAAGAAATCAGATGTTTCAAAACGCCCCAAATAAAAATATAGGTTAAATTATCCTCAATTTCACAATTATACACATCTTCTTTCCTTCCGTTCCGATAATTCGAATTTCCGAACTCCTAATGAACAGAAGAAGACCCTTTAAATCCTACTGCAGAAAACGAAAGAAGAAAATGCTCCGAACTGTCAGAGAAATTACTGCACTTCAATTTAAGAAGAAAAAAAACTCCGAAACGAAATAACAAGAACAATTTGCTACGACAAAAGATAGACGATTATCAATGGTTGCAGAAAAGAAAAGAAAAGAGGTTGACGGTGGGCAAGGCTATCGGGACGGTGGCAATGGACCTTGAATGACGAACAGGCGACAACAGCGACAGTTTCAATAGTTGCAGAGAAAAAGGAGAGGGAAAGGGGGAAGAAGTGGACGACGTGGGACGGCGGCGATAGACATACCTCGACGGCGATAATCTGAAGGTGGCGTTCGCGGCAGCGACGAAACGTAGAATTCTACTCCCAACTCTTAATTTAATATAAAAATATTTAATAAATTTCTAAATTTTTTTAATAAAACTTCTTTTTGTGAAATATTTTTCACAAATAAAATATTTTATATTTTTTTTTTACAATTTATTTTTTAATTTAAGAATTTTACATACCAAATTCAATTTTATATTTAATGCATTTATTAATTTAAAATTTTGGTTCAAAACTTATTTAGGGTAAAATAAAATAAAATAAAATAAAAGTATTTATTAGAAAGTATGAGAAATTTAGTGACGGGATGGTTAATATGGTTCTGAAATTGAGCTTATCTCGAGTAGTTTATGGAAATGTAAACGTTTTTTATTATTTTAAAATTTGGTTTAATAAATTTTTCTCTCAAAATATTTGTTAAATTAATAAATTTATTGGATAGAAAATTAAAAGTTTAAAGTTAATTAGATAAAAAAAAATTAAAAATTTGAGTTAAAATATAATTTGGGTTTGTGAGTTATTATTTTACGTAGTTTTAAATATTTAATATTTATTGAAATTGATAAAATAATAAATAATAATTTTTATGGAAGATAAATTAGATTTAAAAAATAACTTTATTATAGTGGGGAAAGAAAAACGTGACAAGAAAGAGAGAAAATGCAAAGGAAATAAATTTAATTTTCAATCGCTGTCGTGCGTAATCGAGTTGTTCTTGTTATTGTTCATCTTGAGGAGGGAGAAAAGAGGGCGTGTTTTGCTTCCAAGAGAGAGACAGGCATCTGTCTTGATTGTTTTGATTCATTCTTAACCATTTTTGTTCTGTCAACGCCTGTTCTTCCACGATTCTCTTCGATTTTTGTCTCGATTGCGGTTTACGGCCATGGCCACCAGCGGAAACAAGAACATTAATGCCAAATTAGTGAGGCTTTTCTCCCCTTTTTGATTTTTAAAGTTTGATTTCTTTTTTCTGTCCGGATTTTGATGCCAAATCGCGATGTGGGTCTCTTTGATTTTCCTTTTCCGGAATTGGGTTTTCATTATTGTTCTTCTTTTCATCGTCAATTCGATTTGGCTTAATCCTTGGTAGTCTTGATTTGTGGCTGAATTCTGATCTAGGGTTTTGTTTTGTTCGCGAATAACTGAATTTTTTTCTGGTTTGATTGTATTTCTGTTGGTTGTAATTACGAAATCTCTGTTTGCATTCTCTATATATCATTAACTTCTGATGATTGTTGGGATAATCCCTTTCCAATTTATAATTCGGTCGTGATCTAAGTTACTTCTCTGCATTTTAATTAGCAGAACGTTCAGTAGGATCGTGACTATTGCCCTTAGTTTCAGCAATCAATTTTATTAGACGGTATCCCTTTTTGAGATTTTTTTACATGTTCTTCCCCTCTTTGTCCAATTCTGAAATTAAATCATAAATTTTATTGACCTCATATTATGCTTGCCCCTGATTTTACTATCCAATTGTCTCACTTCAATGGCTATCATACATGGAATGTTATTTGTTGAAAAAAGAAGGGGCTGGATGGACTATGTCTAGCTACAACTATTTTGGAACAACACATGAAATCCAGTTTATTTTACTTTCATTTTTCGCTCAGGTGCTTCTTGGTGATGTTGGTGCTGGGAAGTCGAGTCTAGTGTTGCGTTTTGTTAAAGGGCAATTTGTTGAGTTTCAGGTTTGTATTATAAACCATTTGGATTTGGCTGTTGAAATTTTTGAAATGTCTTTCTGTCTTGGTCGTCTGTAATCTTTTTAATTGTTCAATTATGTAGGAATCGACGATCGGTGCAGCCTTTTTCTCTCAAACATTGGCTGTAAATGATGCCACTGTGAAATTTGAAATCTGGGACACAGCTGGGCAGGAGAGATACCACAGTTTGGCTCCAATGTATTACAGGGGTGCAGCTGCAGCTATTATCGTCTACGATATTACTAACCAAGTAAGTGGCGTTTGAAAACTCTTGATTGGTTGCATATGGTCTGAGAACAAAATAATTGTAATTGTGCTTGGGCATTACATCTTCAAATTCATTGTACAAGCCATCAGCCATTTCCGTGAAATATGTTTGGGATGAAAAAGTGTTATGATGTGTCTATGAATTAAGAACCAACCATTTGTTTTTATAATTAATTGCTAAAAGAACTTAGAAGTTGTAACGGCCCAAGTCCACCACTAGTCTATATTGTCCTCTTTGGGCTTTTCCTTTTGAGTTTCTTCTCAAGGTTTTTAAAACGCGTATGCTAGTGAGAGGTTTCCACATCTTTATAAAGAATGTTTTGTCCTCCTCCCCAACCAATGTGGGATTTCACAATCCACCCCCTTCTGGGCCCAGCGTTCTTGCTGGCACTTGTTCCCTTCTCTAATCAATGTGGGACCCCCAATCCACCCTCTCTAGTCCACCTCCCTTTGGGGCTCAGCCTCTTCACTGGCACATCGTCTAGTGTCTGGCTCTGATACCATTTGTAACTGCACAAGCCCACCGCTAGCGGATAGTGTCCTCTTTGGGCTTCTCCTTAAGGTTTTTAAAACGCGTTTGCTAAAGAGAGGTTTCTACGTCCTTATAAAGAATGTTTTGTTCTCCTCCCCAACCGACGTGAAATCTCACCTAAGTTCTTTTTCATTTTTAATCATTTAAAAAAAATGATGGGAGTTAACAAAATCTTTGAAATTTACCAACAGGTATTTGACTTACGAAAAGGAAACTTCAACAGAATTGATGTTTTGAACTTTTAACCAAGTGGGGGCTTTTGTGAAGTTATTAAGAGGCTTAGAGATAAATAAATCATGTCATGATGGTGCTTGATAAAGGAAACAGTGATGGGTTTGTATATGACCTGAAATGGGATCCTGTGTGTGTGTATTAGAGCGGGGAGCTAGGAGTAAAGCCTTTTTAGGAGTTCTTACCCTTCTGAAAAGCGACATACTCTATACATATCAGGCTTCACTAGGGATTATTTATCCTTTTATATACTACTGTAATTGAATTACAATTTTTATCCTTTTCATACCTCAACTCTTGTGTGTAACCTCTATTTGATCGTAGGCTTCATTTGATCGGGCAAAAAAATGGGTTCAAGAACTTCAAGCACAAGGTAGTCTTACTGTTGGGTGCCCTAAATTTACATTGGAAGAGCATCTGGATTGAACATTCTGTAAACTTTTAGCAAGTGAAATTAGTGTGGCAGTTGTCTACCTTATTTTTTTTACCAATTGGATCATCTCCTTTTATCAGGCAATCCGAATATGGTCATGGCTTTAGCTGGGAATAAATCAGATATGTTGGATTCTAGGAGTGTTGCTGCAGAGGCAAGTACTCCCAACCCCAGTTTTCTTTATTCTGTAGTACTTTGTTGAACTGGGATGCATTTCATACAAATAAAAAAGTATATTTCTGCTAGTGACGATCTTCTCTAGTTGGAATTTTGTGATTTTTTTGTACTAAGCTGTGACAATTGGTTCAATTGTTGCTCGTGTAATTGTGCATCATACAGGACGCTCAAACGTATGCGCAGGAGAATGGCCTTTTCTTCATGGAAACCTCTGCAAAAAGTGCTGCTAATGTCAATGATATCTTCTATGAAATAGGTTAGTAACTAGGACATATGAGTTCAAGGGACTGCCCCCGCCCCCCACCCCCCTACCGAAATAAAAGAGCTGAAACAAGATTTCTCTTTTATGCTTACGATATCTCTGGGTCGTAGACTTAAACAAGATTTGAGTTCTAAATTTGTATTTGACGGGATGGTGCAAAAAATGAGTTATAGAAACCGTAGTTCCGTGTCATATTTGTTTGATCAATGGGGATTTTGATTTATAAATGCAATATCCGACACGAGTTTCATGAGTTTGGGTTCATTAAGTCGCGATAGCAAACCTGTAGCTTGGGACAAGTAAATTTATATTAAGTAGATTCATCTTCTTTATCTGGAGGTTCACAAAGTTAGAGAAGTCCCTGCCCTTGACCCCACTCCCAACCACACATACACACACACACAAAAAGGTTCACAAAGTTGATTTTGATTCCTTGTTTTTCGATGCAGCAAAGAGATTACCACGAGTGCAACCGGTACAGAATACACCAGGGATGGTTCTAGACAGACCTGCTGAAAGGGTTCCAAGCACATCGTGTTGCTCGTAGAACGTCGTTGTTCTACTCTTAAGATGTCTGCAGAATGACCTCCATTTGTATGCAGAATTCTTAAGGAAAAGTGAAAAAAAAAAGGGTTGTTGATGTTGAATTTATTATGATGTGTAAATTGACTGCTGTGTTTAGATGATATGCTTCTTTTGCAGCCACCACAAATGTGGCAGACTCACTACTTTGTGTTTATATGATGACCTTCTGCTTGCTTCACACATGCACAGTTTTCTTGGCTTCTTTTTTTTCATTGGGGTAAACTTTGGAATTGGTCACTTGCCTATATGGAATGACTTTTCACGTGTTTAAAAGACTTTATTAAGTACTTGAAAAGTCATTTTTAATAGATTATGAAGAGAGTTTGATTTGACTCGGGAATTGTCTGCTCTCTTTACTCGTATCGTAATTTGGTTATGGTCTTGGGTATGAGACCCGTCAATATGAAAATGACCTCATTGACCCCTCCAAAAAAAAACACGCACAATTTAAGGAATATTATACAAAAGGTCTTAGAGACACGCATTTGGTGTACCAGTTATTGTGTCTACCGTCAATATTGGATAGCCAAGTGCGGAGGAGATAACTTCTAAAAGCATCTAAGTAGTAAACACACTCAAATATGAGTGCTCCTATTTCGACTTCTCCAAAGCCTATTTCGACTTCTCCAAAGCCTTCGATAGTGCAACTGAGACAACAAAAGATTCTCTACGCCAGTAAAGATGGAATGACAAGGAATTGATGGTGGCCCACACAAGAGATGGAGAATGTAGTGTAATTCGATGCAAAGCGAAAAAGCCTTATCAAGGCTTGACATGTCGCGAATCCTCTCAAAAGAAGGGTGCCTTCGATTCGAGAACGTGACATAGGTAGTGCATGGTTGTCATCCGGGGTTGGTTATATATATTTTGGTTTAAATTACTTTTGTTCAACTCAAAGTTCACTTCAAAATGTAAATAAATTTTGATAGTAAAAAAGTCATGAAGTTTTCTAGTGTAGATGTAATAAATTAATGATATACAGTGGGAGTACGATGATTTAAAAATTAATTTTACAAACAAGAAACTAGCTAGAGGCGTACGGGACATGAAAGTCATTCCATCCCCGCTTCGTCTGTCTCGTTGTACGAACCTCCCTTAATTTGATATAATGGTTAGTGATTGAATTGAATATATTAAAACTATATTATAAATCGTAACTAAAAGGAACTAATTTAATATAGAGATTCATTGAGTTCAATAAACTATAACATATTGCAAGTGGATGCTTACATTAAAACCTCATTTCCTTTTCATAACCTTAAGATTCTCAACATAAACAAAAAACCAAATTCAATAACTTCAAAACACAAACTTTCAAAAGGGTAAACAGAACATTATAATATAACATCAATCACAACATAAAAATCAAAACTTTAATTCTTTTTTCATTCCTTCTTATGAAGTCCTTGAGAAACAGCAACAGAAGCACAATCCATTGCTTCAAACCCTAATCTTTCCTTCTCCAAATCATAAACAACCTCCAAATTTTGCTGTTGAAAGCTCCCGAAAATGCCCGCCGGCCCGTCTCCGTCGCCGTCCATGCTTTGAAACAACAAGCATTTCACAACAGTGGAGTTACTAGGAGCAGCCATGGCATAAAAACTGTTCCCTTGAGGCAAAACAACACTAACATTGTTTAAAAAATGGAATGTTATAGAAGGAAGCTCAAATTCATCACTAAAAAAAGTGTTGTTTTTATAAGGAACTTTGTAACAAAGATCAAACCCAGTATTGAGTTCATGTTCTTTAGCTCTTGGATAGCTTATTAATGACTCAAGAATTGAAATAAGCTGTGAATATAATGGTTCTGGTAAATGAGTATAAGTAGTACCAGAATCAATCAAAATTCCACCATTACCCTTTGTGTCAATCTCTCTCAATTGCAAAGAAACTCCAAATCTAGAGTAATTTTCGCCATTTCCAATAGTGATTGACTCAAGCCCAATATAGTAATAATTAGGGTAAAATGGACTTTTCAACAAAGGGGTGAATTTCAAATGTTCTTTAGAAGAAATAGCAAGATTACCAAGAATCAAAGGGCTTGAAAATTTAGGGTTATTTGAGAATTTAAAGGGCAAGAAACAATGAGAGAAGCCCTTATGAGAAAACCCTAATTGAGAAGGTAAAGAAAGAAGGCCTCTACCAAAGCCAGCAATCCCAATTGGCTCTCTATAAGTGGCACCAACACATCCAAAGCAAAATTTAGGGATTTTTCTTGAGGAATTTGGGGAATTTCCATGGATAAAAATGGCATCTTTAGTTAGGGTTCCAATTACAAGGCCACTAGCCCCATAAGTGTAGGAGAATGAAGGGCATGGTCTAGGGCAAGCGCCCTTTACAAGGGTAGCAAGGGAACAGCCAGCAATTGTGCAAGGGTCAAAAGGGTTATCAGAGCTATGGATATCAATGCAAAAGGAGCTACCACAAGTTTCTCTAATGGAAGTAGAAGAATGGGTAGGCAAAAAAGCAGCCAATTTTGGGCCTAAAACATTGTTTTGATACTCATCACAATCTTGGCAATCAAATGAGAGGTTCCCACAAGGTACCCATGTAAGGTCACTTCCAGTGTCCATATACACTTGAATAACTTGTGGGGGTGTCCCTAATGTTAAGGACATCAAATAACCATCCCTAATTTCCCTCAATGGCTCTATAACATCATCATCACCCATTTCCATTGGCTTAATTCTCTTCCTTGAAAGGGAATTATAGCCTCTTTTTGGGGTTAGGAGGGAAGTTCTTGAATGAACAAGGCCAAGAACTAGAGAATCTTTAAGGAATTTGGTTTTAGGGTTTGCTAGGGTTTGTCCCATAGCTTCGCCTGAGACAAGAACGAGAACAAGAACGAAAAAGCTCCTAGCTGCAATTGAAGCCATTTTTGTAGCTTTGTGTGAAGTGGGTCACTAAGATAAGTTCATTTGGTAGCCAAGAAGCTTATTATATGCATAATTTATAGGAGGAATGTGAAGCTATTAAGGTTTTTTTAAGCTTTTTTTCCACTTGATGTGTTTACTTATTATATCACTCAAAAAAATGTAACTTTTTTGGCTGTTTTTGTTGGGATTTTACTCAACTGTCAGCTAGCTAACTGTGGATAGTTTGTACAATTCGAGAGAGATAATAATAGAATATATGAGAGCAATCCTCTTGGTGGATTGATGTGTTAAATAATAATATACTATATGTTTAGATCTATCTATGACATTGTTATTTTATGGAATCTCTAGTTGTCACTTTCGATGTACTAAGAGCGTTTTTTTTATTCGATTCGACAATGGTATGAGTGAGAGATTGAATAACTGATCTTTGAGATGATAATTTGATGTCTACTTTTATCGAGTAAGATATGCTTAGATTTGGACTCTAAAGGCTCGAGTTATTGTAAGAAACATTGTCATTGAGTTTGTGTGATAGTTGAAAATATAAGACCAATTTGAACCTAGCTCAATATTGTTGTACTCTTAAAATAAAAAACTTATACCCAATATAGCAATTTGGTAGCTTTGTTTATTAGTCACGATCTGGATAACGAGCGTCTTGAATATTGTAGGGTTACCCAACTTGGTCGAGAAAGCATGAGTCATAAGGTTCGATGTATATTTGCAGATATATTACTTGAATGTCATAGCTTTTTTTAGTACAACATCTAGGGTATGAAGATTTGAACCTCAAACCTCGAGAAAAGAAGTAAATGTCAATTACAGTTAGCCGAGAAACCATGAGTCATAAGTCCTAAGGTCGAATGTTGTAGGGTTACCCAACTTGGCCGAGAAGCCATGGGTATACAAAGACATATATTACTTGAATATCATAGTTTTGTTTAGACCAACATCTAGGGTACGAGGATTTGAACCTCAAACCTCGAAAAAAGACGTATATATCAAATCGTATCGTTTATAAACATAACGTCCCTTGCCAAAGTGATGAGCTGCTGCTTTATAAATAGTCACATATTGAACCACGGGACGTTTTTGTTTTCTCAAACGATATCAAATCTAGATTTATAATAGATACATCAAATCGAATCAAGCTTTACCAAACAAGCTAACGAATCGAGCTCATAAATTGACAAATATGAATGACAAAACCCAATGAAAAACAACAAAGAAAGGTTGGTAAAAAGAGAAACCCCATTTACAAAATGAGTAGACAAATCCTTTTAGGGTTTGAGAAAGGGCAATGAACAAAAAGCAAAAAAGAAAGAACCCTAACTACAAGAGAATATATTATAAGTATTATATATATATATATATAGATATATATATGCATGCGCATGCTTCCACATATGATCATTCTTTCCATTTCAAAGGGAATAATTTACAAAAAATGACAAAAAGAAAAGGGCATAATGGCAGCTACTCAAGCTCACAAGAACTTGAGTTATAAATTGGGAGATTCCATATTTGGTTAGCCACTAAAACCCAAACGAATATTGTTTGTGCATGCATTTTCATATATTAATCTCCACAAACTATGAAACTATGATCAATCAAGTTCATATATTTGGAAACCCATTGATCTCCACTAAATGGGTTCCCCTTCGAAAGATTCTCTTCGTTCGTTGGAGATTTTGTTTAGGATGTTCAAGAATAAGATGTCTGAAAATAGGTTGTCTCTGAGAATAGATTCAGATAACTGTGCTTCGTGTTGCATAAAAAATGTTATCAGAATTTCATTCCAATGATTTCCACTAAATGGGTTTTCCCATCGAAAGATTCTCTTCGTTTTCCAAATCCTTTGGTTGGAGATTTTGTTTAGGATGTCGGAGAATAAGATATCTGAAAATAGAATCAGATAACTGAGTTTAGTGTTGCATGAAAAATAGAATCTTCAGAATTTCATTCCAATAATTTCCACTAAATGGATATCCCCATCAAAAGATTCTCTTCGTTCTCTAAATTGTTCAGTTGAAAGTTTTGTTTAGGATATCTCACGTTTGGTGTTGAATGAAAAATGTTATTAAAATTTCATTCGAATGATTTCTAGCAAATGAATTTCTTCACGATGTTTATAAATCCCAACAAAAGAATTTAGTACCAAAGTCGTTTTTTCTATAATTTATTTATTTTTCAAGTTTGAAATGAAAACTTATTAATTAAAAGGTTAAAATTTCAATATTTTATAGATTAATGAAATTTATTATGAATATTATCAAAAATATTCTTTTACCATATTATATACATAATATAAAAATATGATATCTTAAAAGGTATATACTAAGGTAGATTATAAAAAATACCCTAAAAATAAAAAAAAAATAAAATAAAATTAAGAGTATTTATTTATAATTAAACTTTAATTAATATTATAAAATTGAAAACATTCCAAATTAAACAAATAATTTATTTTATAAGTGATATAACAGAGTGTGGGAGAAGCACTAATTATAAGTTAATATAAAATTAATTCTAATTAGTTAATGATATTAAGGAAGATTCCCATAATTAGTGAAAAAGAAACCCATAAAATAATGAACATTATGATTTCATGGCCACCCATTATTGGTTTTAATTTTTTAAAAATACACAAAAAATACCTATTTTTCTCTTTATTTTGTACTTTGTTTCATAATAATTTAATAAATTTGATAAGTTATAGTACTAAAAAAATAATTATATATAAACTCCATATTATAAAGCATTAATAAACAAATTTAAGTCATTAATTATGGATCCTATTTTAGGCATGTTGTGTCATGTCCACGTACTTGAGTGATTCCAAATGGAACCCACTAATCACAATTAGTGATCTTAATTAGCTGTTTAATACACTAATGAAAAGAGATATCAACGGAAGCTATAATGGGGGCAATGGGTACTAAGAAAATGAGTATAGAAGTATTATGTGACTTTTAACGCGTGACCTTGTGTATGTTGTATGTTATACGAGCGTGGGTTGTTTCTCTAGCATGTTACGTACGGATGCGTATACCACATTATTATATGCACTTCTTTCCTTTCGGTTGATTTTCAATAGTGTGAGCATACAACTAGAGGTATGTTAACAAGCTCGCCTAGTGGATTCGTGTATGTGTGCATGAACCGTGCATAGAGAAGTACTATGCATCAACGCTACTAGAAAATAACATAGCCCAATAAATGATCATGAAAAGTAGGTCCCACCATTCATGGAACGTGTTGCATGCGATTATATTTCGGTTTCGAGAGTGAGGTCAGTTATTGAGTATGGATGATGGCACCAAGTAGGGCATAAAATAAAGTCGTTGATAGATAGTTTCTCCATTTATATTAATGTCCATTGTTAAGATAAAATGCTTTTTAATTGCCCTTTGCACGAACATTTATGTTATTTATGCATGAGCAGTCTTATATAAACTCTAAAATTCATCAAAGCAGACTTTAACTCATGCAAAATCAATTAAAAAAAAGTTGAATCGACACAAAATTGTCGAACCGAACCAAACCAAATTTGACATATGGGATAACGCTAGCAAGAGAAATATTGTCCCATAGTATGTTGCACGCATCGTGGGTTTAAAGACGTCCGAATCTTAGAGAAGTTATATAACAACTCAAGTTCACCACTAACAAATATTGTTCGCTTTGGCCCATTACATATCGTCGTCAACCTCACGGTTTCAAAACGCATCCACCAGAGGCTTCCACACCCGTATAAGAAATGTTTTGATTGTTCGCTTTGGCCCATTACGTATCGTCGTCAACCTCACGGTTTCAAAACGCGTCCACCAGAGGCTTCCACACCCTTATAAAAAATGTTTTGTTTCCCTCTCCAACTGATATGAGAACTCACAATCCACCCCCTTGAGAGCCTAACATCCTCACTGATACACTACCCAGATCCGAATTTCAATAACACTATAACAGCCCAAGTCCAATGTTGGCAAATATCGTCTATTTTGGCTAGTTAGCCTCACAATTTTAAAGCACGTTTACTAAAGAGAAGTTTTCACACCCTTATAAGAAATATTTCGTTCCCTTCTCTAATCGATATAAAATCTCACATGCAAAGTCGTTGAAATCATATCAAATCATTGCATAGAGGAATAGCGACAATGTTGCTCACGCTCGAAAAGGAACCCACCCCATCTCATCCACACACAAACAGTCACTATTACCCTTACCACTTGTTGGTGCTACAAGTCAATAGTGCTGGTAGCTACCCACCAATGGAACATACATCAACCATTACTCAATTATCTACTTGCCTATTATAGCCCCTCTATGAACATGGAGAAAGGAGCAACAAGCTACAAGATGCATAAACTTAAACAAAAGGTAGCCTTTCCAGCTAATGAGCATGAAATTGTAGAACAGATCAGGAAATTCCAGCTTATTTAAGAAGCTTTCAATCAATCATACATATTCATAGCAGATCTGTCAAACCTAGAGATTCCTGAAGTGTTTGAGCTGCCATTGAATTCTTTAAAGTTGTTATATGGTTTGAACTGTTCTAAACAGCCATAGAATTGGGTGGTAGCCATCTCCATGAGTACTCACCAAACTCCAAAGCTATACAGACATCTCAACAGCAGAGTTTAAACAAACTACTTGGGAGATTCCATTAAACAAACTACTTGGGAGATTCCATTAACCACAGAAAATGTTGCAGAAAAGTAAAACAATGCCCGAGATCGTGAAGGGACGACAACGAAGAGATCCAAAGTCGTAAGCATAACTGAATACAGAGAAAATTTGGTGTAGTATCATCACCTTTCTTCTTCAAATAAAAGGAAAAAAGAACTATACAGAAAAAATGAATTGGTACACAAATCTGACATGATGAAAAAGACACTAACTGTCAACAAGTTTTAAGTTATTTTGAACCATTTACAACACACTACATACCATCAAATCCTTTTTCTCCTCAACCCATATGTAGATGATGTTAAGAAATAGAACAAGAGAGTGAAGAGGAAGAGATTTGAA